TTTGGCTTAGTCTGCAGTTTCTTTCATGCTCCTTTAGTTATGTTCCCATGGATTTTTTGGTGGATCAGATATATACCTTCCCACAAGTGCACGGTTTGCGTTTAAAGATTCACCTCTATTTTGACCTCTTATAACTAAGTTCGATCTTCCTCTTGAAGATGATCACTTGGTGATCGAAACACGTGTCGAGGTGTTAAAATAACGGTTTAGTATTAGGAAAAAACTCCAGTAATATTCATTTTATACAGTACAGCTGTATCATCAGCAAAACTCAAAATGTCACCTGCTGATTGTAGTGTTAACAAGCTATTGACGTATATGGTTAATAAAACAGGGCCCAAGACTGTTCCTGCGGGGCACCATATGTAACTTTTGCTTGATTACTCAGTATACCATCGATATTTACCACTTGTTTCCTATCAGAGAGATACGATCCCAGGAGATCGTACATCTTGCCGCGCATGTCAAGATTCTCCAATTTTTCTAGCAGCCTTTTGTGACAGACGGTGTCAAACGCCTTGGAGAGGTCGACAAAGATACAAATTGCTGGTTTTGAATTGTCTAGTGCTTCATAAATTACTGATGTAAGTCCGTTGAACAACCCCCTCTGAAACCATATTGATTTTCTGACAGGATACTATGTTTCTCCATGAATTGTGTAATTCTTTTTTTGATGATTTTTTCAATAACTTTTGTTATATTTGAAATCAGTAAAATGGGTCTGTAATTTTTGATTTGAAGTCTATCACCGATCTTGAGTGGTTTGACGGTATCGTTTTTGAAAATATTCGGGAATATTCCTTTCACAAAACATTTATTGATGATATGAATAATTGGACCTGCTAGGTTACAACTATAATTACGTGATTACGTTTGGGTAGAATAAAAAACTTCAAAGTTCAGGTTATTGAATGTAGCATCTAATAATAAGCATCAAAACTTCATAAAAAAGGTGACATTTTTAATGAATTTAATTCTTTTTTCTTATAAAATGACTTTTTGGTCAATCTTTTTTTTAATATTATGTCAAAAAGTAATGCACATTAAATGTATATTCCTTTTTGACATAAACTACCTTTTTAAAATTATATTTTTCATGAAATTACTTCACAAAGGGTCGAAGCAAACCTTGCATCATGTTTTGTTAACACTCTAAAGATTTATGTAGGTTGCGTCGAGTTTACAATTTTCAACTCTGGTGCAAAATGGGCAAAAAAATCAATTGATCCACTCACTTTGGACCTACCTACCTACACCTCCTGAATTCTTCCATCCCCTCGATTGCAGAAGTACATATTTTCCCCATTTTACTTAAGGAAATTCGTTCATTTAATTTTTTTAACCGATTTGACTGATACCCAGCTTCTCTCCTAAGAGGAACCCTCAGAAATCCTCAGTAGATTTGTTGATTTCAAGGAGAACAAAAAATCTTATTTTTTTATGTGTGCCCCATATAAAATAATGGGTTATCATTTCTATATTGTAATTTTATCTTTCATTTCAGGATGGATATATGATATAACCGGTACCTACAGATTATCGTTCTATCTGTCTGGCATCTTCATAGCTATATCAGGCTTCATGTTTGTCATTATACCCTTAACAAACCGATATAAGAAAACGTTCAAACGCCATTCCTCAAACTCACCTGTGGACTGTGAATCACCCAAAGAACCAACACCAACAAAGATCGTCTTAGACTCTTTAGAAACAAACAATGAGAAAGATAAATAAATTGAAAATATTTGTAAGTAATTGTACCAGTTGCAACCCTAACATCTGTAAGTGAACTTAATAATCATTCATTAAGTTTTTCGTGGATTTATGTTGAGTGCTTATGTTGAGTGTTGGAATTTATTTTTGTTTCGGGCTTTGCCCTATGTTTTTCGAAGTTGTAGTTATGGCCTATACGAAGTCAATTCGGCATAAAAACTAAATAGTAACCGAACTTCGGCAGTTTATTTGTATGGCATGGGTGGCAGGGTATAATTTACGTGATCTAATCATTATTTTTATGTGGGAGGCTTTATAGGGTATTAACGAGTAAATTTGTATTGACTTCGTATAGGCTATAGTTTAAGGATAAGGTTGTGTTCATTAATTTACGTTATTTCTACTTATTCAACTTCAACAAAGGTGAAAATTCGAAATACTTTTCAATCTGATATTTCTTCAGAAAATTAAAATGAATTACTTCTGTTCCAACATTACTGTAATTTAGTTATTACTATAATCTATTTATTGAGATCATTTGATATTCAAATTTGATAAAAAGGAACTCACAACATAATTATTTGAAACAGAAAAAGCAATGAGAAAGTTGTCAACTTTTAATGAGTAAAAGTTTTCTGATCTTCCAATTTAAATACCTCCTAATGTAGAACTTTTCAAGTACTGTAAGATTTTCAGTCTCAGGTTTTGAATGTTAGCTAAATAATTATTAGGAAATTATAATTTAAAAAAATAAGTATCATTGAGCGTTACCACATTTGAATCTGGATTTTGGTATTTGTTATTAGGAAACTTGGTCCAATTATGTTTTCTGTTTAACATCCTTTCTTACAGATATTCAAATACCTGAAATTATATGCTGGTCAGTATTTAGGATAATAAATAACATAAAATAATCTTATTGTTATATATTTTTAAATGGGTAATAGAAACTGTAAATACTTTCAAAATTGTAGTGTTATTTATTATAAGTAACTAAGTTACTAATTGTGCTATAATTAGAAAAGAATAATAATGGTTTTATTTGAGTTAATTTCGTTGATATGATGATCAACATGAATTGATTTTGTTTTATGTTAAAATATAGTATTACTGTATCTGTATGGATATTCTTATTTTCAATTTTCAAAAGTAAGTATTTCACTTGACTGCATCTGAAATAACCAATATGTACACTTAATTTACAAATTTCTAAATATCGTAAAATTATTTCCTTCAAAGTAAGAAAATTTTATTTCTTCTTGTAGTATATTTGATAGGTGTCAAAATTTTCCAAGAATGTTTATATTATTTTAACTTACTTATTTACTGTTTTTTTATAACCCTATCTTCAAATTAGAAAAAAAGTTATTGTGGTCAACAACTTTCAATTAAAGTATCAAACTAAATTGATTATTGTAAGTGGGCATTTACAATCTCATTAGCTATATCCATTGAAGAAAAATTTCGTAGGTTATATGGGATACTTACCAAAATATGAGGTTTTATTTTGACAATATTCAGATTTATCCTAATCTATTTTTCCTATGGCAAATTAGCTATTGATTTATGTTACCATTGACGAAATATGATATATTCTGATTAGGTTTATCTCCAGAATACTCGATGTTGCAATCCAAAAGGATTTCCTGCTATGTAATTCTGATTCATTTTAGTTTTAGAAAGTGTTCAGCTAGAGTTTAAGAAACGATTGTATATATTTTCAGTAGGCTGTGTTAGCTATTACCTTTTCAGAAAATCCAGTAGTTTTGTCGATAAAAATCGTAGATAACACAATAATAATAATATATAACAATCATGCACCGTTTTGCCAAATACTGTTGTTTTTTGAATTTGTTGAGAATTTATTGTGAGGTTCACGTAAAATTTCATCACAAATCAATAACTATTTAAGAGGTCATTAACTGACTATTATTGTTTCACATTGATAATAAAATCAATGAAGGAAGAAGGCAAAGGGCAGCTATTTTGAGATAATTTGAGAGTGTATCAAGTTAGGATATCTTAGGGTGCAAGTTCATGGATAATTGGTTATGACATTATTGATGAATTCTTCACTTGTCCTCTCATTCACAATATAAAAATAGAATTAAAAAGAAATAAACTCATTTGAAATGAAATTTTGCGTGTACTGCCCAGTACTTTCCAAATTACAAGCGTAACTGTGATTGAAAATTGCAAAATATGGAATAGATATAAGTTATATTCGTCTTTCTTCTTTTCACGAAGGAGAGGTTTTTTAGTTTTCTCATGCTTCTCAACTGCACCACATGAATACAGTCAAAGTCGATTGATAATAATGGATAGTGATAAAATAGTGTCTTGTTCTTTAGTATATAGAAACCCACTATCATGTTTGAAATTTTTCGGAAAGTTGAAATCTATTATAACAAGCCGAATTTTCTTAGAAATATGTGCACTCACTCTCTACTATCATTTGTTTTTGGAAATGTCCAAAATCTGCCATTTATTTTTGTTTCAGTATCCAATATAGTATTCTTAGTTAGATATTTACAACACTTATTTCCCATAATATTAATACATTGTAAGTTCGAATTCAAATAAATGCAATGAATCGTAAGTTTGTTTTTTCTATAGATTGCAGAAACCAAATTAATTTTTATGGGAATTCCAAAGGTCTTTTTTAAAGAATGGAATATTTGGGATATTTTAGAATGTCTGAAGGTCCAGTTCTACCCTTGCTAGATCACAGTAAATAAAGTGACTCCTATCTACTTTCTATACTATTTTGATTTCTATATCCATAGAATTCAAAATGAGTCTGAAGACTGTTTCTAGGAGAGATATACGCTTATAAGAAAAAATATTTGAAAATGAAATTTTCCCTCACATATATGTATTTTGCAAATGTTTCTCGTTCAACCAGCAGCGAGACCTACTGTATATTTTCTTATACGTATGTTACTCTTCTCAATACAGTATTCATACTTATCTTGATTTCTGCTAGAGTATTAGAGACGAATGTTCCATTCATGCAGTCAATTGCCGTTGAAGATAGTCGAGTCCCAGGTATGCTGCCGTTTGGGTATCATTCTTGCACTGATGTTAGGTAATACCTCGAAACTGTGAGGTATCTTGCATAAATGGGATATAATTCAATGACCATCGTGGTATTAGTCGGGGAAGTAGTTGTTTTTCAGGAGTAATCCACCAGAACCTACTGTGTTACATTTTGTTATTAATTTACTTCAAACACGATTTTGTAACTGAAGCCAGTCTTAAATTTTATGTACCCCCTCTAAGGGGCTGTATCTTAACAAGGAATGCTACAATTATGTTTCTTTATATGAAAGATCCTATCTTTTTTTCGATGAGGAATCACCTCCTTAAATGTTTTACACTTATTCAGTTACACCCTGTATTTTCTTATACGTATGATACTTTTCTCAATACAATATTCATACTTATTTTGATTTCTGCTAGAGTATTAGAGACGAATGTTCCATACATGCAGTCAATTCGCGTTGAAGGTAGTCGAGTCCCAGGTATGCTGCTGTTTGGGTATCATTCTTGCACTGATGTTAGTTAATACCTCGAAACTGTGAGGTATCTTGCATAAATGGGATATAATTCAATGACCATCGTGATTTTAGCCGGGGAAGTAGTTGTTTTTCAGGAGGAAATCCACCAGAACCTACTGTGTAGGCCTGTTGGGAGATATGAATGTTTAGAGATTTCATTTTGAAATATTTATTTTCTTATCTTTACTTAATTTTTTCTTTTATGTCTTCTATGATTAATGAAATGACTAACTGAAAGTTTTCTCCTTTGGTGCTAGCATTTACTCGAAGGAATGTCTCGATTTACTCCACATAGGAATATTGTGGTAGATCAAATATGGATACCTTTTGAAACCAGAACCGATATACAAAGCGTTTACGATCTAACACCAGATAGCGCTGTTTTGATCTGCCATAGATAGTAATCAATCAGTGGTGTTAGGTTGAACTATGAATTTGTTCTTGAACTGAAATTGAGCATGAATATCTCCTCTTACGGTATGTGTATCTACAGAAGGTTGAGACCATGAACATCAATGATAAACAAGGCTCCAAATCGCGGTCTGTTGCGAAGCTAAGATTCGACATCAAAAGCCGAACGAGATCATTTGTGATCCAACAACAGACCACGCTTTTTCGAGCTATCATAAGTGAAGAATGAAGGACTTTGAAAACAGTAATCAAATATTTTGAGCATTACTCGTATAATGATCAGAAGTGTAGACTGATATCATTTAGTAATAATCATTACTTTTTAGGAGAATTTCAAGCCTTAATACGCTGTGAATGAAATGAAACATCAATGAAATATTATGCCTTTGTGGAGAGTTATTTAGTTGGTGGCTGTGAATCAAAACAGCGAATAAATCGGGATTACTCGGGTCACTTTCAGTTTTCAAACATTTTTGTTATTAATTTACTTCAAACACGATTTTGTAACTGAAGCCAGTCTGGAATTGTATCACACTTTTGAGTAATTAAATGGTATATGGTATTAATAATATTTATTTTATTTTGTCATAAATTTTCACATGAGATATTGACAGTGTCACCATCATTTGAAAGAGCCTGGCAGGAGGCACACACACTTGATAAAATTAAAAAATGTCTGAAACAAATATGCAATCCAAATATAACATATACAGATCAAGTCAAATCAAAAGATATCGATGGGATAATTTGGGGGTGTGTCGGCTGGTACAATTATTGCGTCCTTGAAGAAAATTCTAATGAATATGATGAATAATGCCCATGGGTTGGGCTACCAATGGGGCGCGTCCCAAGGTGGTGAATAGGGGAACCGCCAGGGGACTGGAGGCCCTGTCTGGGAAGCCAATGTGGCCTTAATGTAGATGGGGTCGCCGGACTCCTGGTCAGTGGCAGAAATAAGTAGGGCGAGGGGATTTAAAACTCCCCAAAAGCCTTTGCAAAACATACCACCGTGGACCAGCCTACCCAAGCTAAGGTGTAAGGAATCGTTCCGACAGCTGAATGGCCGCAGGGTGATATACTGTTACGAACGATTCCTTTGGGCAACTGGGCGAAACCTCATTGTAATCAGGCTACCTCTGGTAATGATGGGCCCTGCCAGAGGTGACCAACCCTTCCCTTGCTACTCGTGGGAACTCATATGAATGAAATAAACACAAAAACAGAAACAACAAAAACCAATCCCGAAGCTGGACAGAAGTGCTCACCTCAATCTAAGGCGATGGCTGGGGATGAACAGAAATATCCACCCCAATCTACAGCTTCGAATGAGGCCAAAAGGAGAAAGAGACAGGAGTGGCAGCAACTATAAGTGCACCCTCCCCCACTCCAACAGCAAGGGCACTTCCTGCGGCGGGCGCCAAGGGCTCCGCCTTGAATAAAGGCAAGAAACCGGCTGCCCTTGCAAGAAAGCTCCCTCACTTGTGCACCTCTACGGAGGGAACCCCAAGAAGGTTGAAGAAGCCGCGAAACGACAGTAATGTCGCTGCACCTTCCAAAACTTTCGTGGAGGCCACCGTGAAACACCTCAAGGTTGCCAAAGAGAGTGTGTGTTCGGCGAGTCTTGGCCTACACCTGCCAATATGAAGATGTCTTTTAGTGACCTGTCCACCTTCCTGAAAAGGACAGGATGGACGATGACCTAGGAGGACAACTCCTCGGGAGGATGTATAATGGGTCACATGTGGCCTAAGCGCTGTGGGTCCTCCCCCTTCCTACTCTACAGATACAGATGATGAATAATGATTTTCTTTCGAATACCAATTGCCTTATATCTTGTAGGTCGTAAACTACTTGTCAAAATGATAAAAAACGAAAAAAGTTTCCAATGGATGATGAATAATGATTTCCGTCTTTCAAATACTGATCATCCCATATTTTGTAGGTCACAAACAACTTGTTGAAATAATAATTTTAAGACCAAAAATCTCACGATCATGCAATGTCATTTTATTTATTTTTTACTCCGTTTCTGAAAACTTCTATGATTGTAATAGCGAATACTGATCTTCACTTTTCGATTACAGGTTGTCCTATATTTTGTAGGTCACAATTTTTCAATTGAATAATTATATAAATGACCATTAATCTTACGTTCATTATTTTTGTGTTTCTGGTACTAATAAGATGAATGTCATCCCATTTTTCATCTATAGTAACATAAACAAGATATAATATAAAAAATACAGTGTGTTGAAATACATATCAATTTCAACAACTGCGTTTACTTCTTAGAAGTGGCGTTGTTCTACCCCAAAGTATATGAACCGCATATCTTCTCTTTTTCGCATCTTGCTCATTTGAGATAACAAGCCGCGGTCATTTATCTATACCGAATTCTATACTGATAACATACTCAACCACAAATGCGTTGCTTGATTCAACCGCCTTAAAAAATAAGCCTGAGTAAGTAAGGCCGTCGACATCTCCCCCTACAAAGACGCGATTTGTGGGATCGATAGAGAAATAACTCAATCCTCAATGATAAATGAGGCTCCCCAAGGTTTCGTAAAGGGAGATGTCGTCAACCTTACTTACTCAGGCTTGTCCTTCAAGGACAAGGACAGCATTTTAGCCTAGCACCACTGCCTATGCCAGGTCGAAAGAGCACTGTCTGGTGTTGAATCATAAATGCGTTGTTTCGTATCTGGTTTACAACTAGTTGTCTTGCAGTGAAAGCTGTAGTGGAAGACAGGACGAATTTCATCGGTAGTCCGCCTTGGAGAGTCTCATTATATCTTTGATATTCAAGAATTGAGTTCTCTGTCGATCACATAGATGGCGTTTTCGTAAGGGAAGATGGCGTCGATATTACTCACTGAAATTTGTCCTTTAAGGACAATTGACTGCAACAATGGATTTGTGGTTCAATTGAGCACCACTGATGAGACCTCTGGCGGGTCGAAACAGCGCTGTTGTGTGTTGAATCACAAATGTGTTGTATTTGGGCTCTGGTTTACAACTAGTTGCTTCGGAGTGAAAGATGCAGTAAAAGACAGACGACGAATCGGTGAAACACCAGGATTTCTATGCATCTTGGTGGATAGCAACACTTCTTGACTCAAGGTGTAAAAGTACTGGATGGTGGTGAAGGTCAACTAAGTATGAAAAGAGGACTTTTTGAAATGGAGAATTTCAGAAAAAATACATAATTTTCGGGTTTCTATAAAAAAGGTCATCTTAGAAGGAAATAATTCCCGGCAAAACACGTTATAACGGTCAGTAGCAGAGGATATACCTACACATAATTTTACTCAGACAAGGTGTGGAGTTTTGATGGTATGATTTGTAGTTATCAATTATGATTTAAAAAAAATCAAACTTGTAAAAATATTTTAATGGTTATTTTACACTGTGCATGTATAAATTTCAGTCTCCTTATTCATGGATGCTGCTTTTGCTCAACATAGTTGAAGTATTCACTTCTTTGAAATGCCATAGACAGGCGTGAATATCTCAGTTGACAAACTCCCTTCGTTCATGTTTTGATTTGTTCGTTGAGTATGGGCCCAGTACCGGTCATTTTTCTATTTTTTGTAAATGGAATGACGCCCACTAGCAATCCGCTAATGATTATCCAAACAGTTGCCTGGTAAAACGATTGCTCCCATGATTCCGAAAGGTCAAACAAGAATCCTGTAAATTGAATTAACAGTCAAAAGTGCATTATTATCACTGAGTAATCAGATATACCTATATTAGGAAGATGTTAAATGATATACGGTTTATAATGGAGGGGACCATTGTAATAAGGCGATGGTGCATACCTCTCGAGCAAAACGAAGAATTATTAAAGTGACAGTTTGTATTGACAAATCATGTAGTATTTATTGTTTATCGGCATCACCTTCGCTACATAACCAAGTTAGCATCATCATAAGATAATTAAAATTCATCAGTTATGAGGAACTACATAAACCTTTAGGAATTCATATGACACACGCACACACACATCAAATAAAATTTATTATTGATCCAGTTTCTTCGGCAACTCGACTTATGATCCATTCGTTTTGATATTGAATCACAGAATTACTTACCAGCTAACGGAGGCCCAGTAAGGTTCCCTACTCCCATGCACATTAAAACCAATCCATATGCCATGGAAAAATAATCCAGAGGCACCAGCTCTGCTACTAGTGACGGTAAAAGTGAAAAACAACTGGCAAAAAACAATCCAAACAAGCCGCTGTTGATCAGCAACATAACATAATGACCGCTGAAAAACATCATAGTTCCTATACTGACACCGCAGAGAATGAGACAAGCGGCATACATTTTTGCTATATTTAGCCTATCTCCAATCCAACCAAGGAGTACCTGTAATTAGAAAATATATTTCATTGTTGAGAGCAATTGAATTTACATGTATAGGTTTGTTGCTTTTTGACTGTTGTTATGTTTATTGATGTAAATCTGATTTGTATTTTTCGTGGGTATTCGAACGAAACTCACCAAATGTTTTGAAAGCCTTCATTTGCTTATAAGTTCTTATCAATTAGTAGTTTTCAGAGATTGAAACAGAGAAAAAATTAAAATTTTTTTAGCTACCTTTCAGCGATATCAGTGGTTTCAATAATGTGATAAACTATACCTACGATAACATTATTTTGAAGCACGATTTTGTCTACTAATTACCTTAATGATTACATAAAATCGTATTTTGAAATCTAATGAAATCATCTCGCAACCCAAAAAACCCATAAAAAATGAACAAGTATCTGGAATTGTGTGTGACTATTTGCTAAAACTACAAAGAAGACTTCATAAATATATTTGAAACTCCTTCGTTACCAAGCTAAACAAGTTAATGTATAGTTTTGTACATCCGAAACTTAACTGGCGCAGTCAGTAGGATGAATTCAAGTTTTTTCTGAAATACATGGATTCATGACATTTCGAAATAGAGTTTGTACTATTAGATACTTATCGGAATTTCCAGTAACCTTTTTCAGTTGAGATGATAGGGTTCAGGAGGAATCCAGATGATTCGAATAGAAGCAGAAATTATAGTACCAGAGATACGAAATACATTGGCAAATCCCTGTATCCTTTTATAACTTAGCATTTTTGGTTCACCAATAAGAAAAATTAAAATCATATAGTTTTAGTTACTCAATTACCAATTTTATAGAAAAAAAAATATATGACTCAAAAAAAACCATTCCTTAAAACGATACCACCAATGCTTGTGATATAAAGAAATTGCTGAATGATTATCTCCGCTAAAAATTTCACCATTCCTAGGCTCGAATAGATTGAATGTAGTATAATGTAAAATACTCTGTTTCAGACCTATTGCCTAATTTTGACCAATTTATATTCCGTACAATTTCTTTTGTGTACATAGGTACACATCAGTGACGGCTCCTGCCTTGGAGGCTTAAGTCATATAGACTATATACTTATATACACACAGAAAAGCCCGCTGGAGGCGCGAAATTTTTTATGTTGTTGCACGCTTTGCTTAATACAAAAGTTAGGGCATGGGCATGACAATGCGTAAAAAGTGCATGAGGAGCTATGGACTTTATTTTAGTTTGTAAACCATTTAAATGGCCAGCCATGACCGCAGCCCCATCATAGGTTTGCGCAATTAACTTTTGCCTAAAATTATAGCTGTCACACATACGAATTAAAAAATTAAACAAATAGTCAGCTGTGCGCTCAGATGAAACATCATGAAAACCCATAAAACGTTCTACCACATTACCAGCGGTGGCTCGTCAGAGGAGGCAAGGGAGGCTTAGCCTCCCCATATTTTTTTAAAGCGGTCGGAGGCTTGGCTCCCTTGCAATGTATGGCATTTATTATTTCGGGTTGATAATTCATTCGTTATTCGTTCATGGGCGGTGCGTTTGAGTTTTGTTGATGCAGGATACAGTGTGGTACGTACTACGTAGTGAGTGTTTTTTCGGGCATACTATGTATTTATATTAAAAATTAATGGTAAAGTAATGATATCCAAGCATTTTCAGAAGGAAATAATCATAATTATTTGTCAATATCTTTTAATTTATTGCGATGAATAGCCTCAAATTTTATGGGGAGGCTAAGCCTCCCTTGCCGCCTCTGACGAGCCGCCGCTGGTATATATACATTACATGCACTACATACGCTTATATTTTCATATAATTTTACTTTCTATATATTACAATGAGTGATGTGATAATTTTCTATCTGACAGTACTGTTGTTTATCTGAAATTAATTGGATTTTTTGTAAAATTCCGAAGTTCTTATTTTTTCAAATGAACAACATATTCTCAATCGAACATTGAAAACAAAATCGTTGTGAAATATAAATGAGTGATGCGGTAAAAAACTGAAATATCAATCACCACAAACCCATAACCATTGTCATACCTTATGTTCCCGGTTTGTCTGAGAAATTGAAAAAAATAGAAAACTCACAAGAATCCACATATATTCTTTCAGCAGGTAACAAGTGTATTCCATATATTCTGTGGAAATGGATAGTACCCAGGTGCCATTACTAAAAAGATGGGTTGAAAACCGAAAAATGAATAATGTTCCTAGACTTTTTTGTCACGCAGACTGGAAAATTGGCTATTTGGAGAAATATATTGTTTTTCGGATACCTACTTTCAGGAGCCACGAATATTTTTGTGCCGAATGAATAAATATTTTTTTTATGGTTGTTTTTTTAGAATTGACAATATGAGTATAAACAAGTAATTTCTTACCATTCCCAGAGTATTCGTGAATCCAATTGTGGATAATGTCATGGACGCTTGATCTTCCAGATAACCAATCCTTGTCATATGTTCAGCAAGATAAAAATATGGCACTATGAACCAGATAAACAAAATTATGGTTGACATTGATAGTGAAAAAAAATGTAATTCCAGGAAAAGAGACAGATTCAGCACGTTTTTCAGGCCTTTCCAAAATTCCATATACCATATCTAAAATAAAGCGAAGAAAAGAAATTAGTTACGAAGAAAAGAAATTAGTTACGAAGAAAAGAAATTAGTTACGAAGAAAAGAAATTAGTTACGAAGAAAAATATCTATTCCATTAAAATATCTCAAATGTATATATTTCTGTTTGGTATATTCGAATCTACAATATTCAATTTCAATTTGGGGAACAGCTAATTTATCAATAATAAATCCTCTCAAGAGATTGCAAAATGAAATAATGAAATGTATATTCAAATTACCATATCTTGAACCTACGTTAAATTCATATAAACCACGTGATCTTTTAGATATTCAGTCCATTTTTCAATTTAAAAATTGTTGTCTCATTCATTCTGTTATTCATGATTATAAAACAAGTTGAATCACATATCGCTCAAAATTTGGGGAGAAATCAATATTTTATTTAGGAGTTGAAATATATAATAATCTTCCAGAGAAACTAAAAATAAATAAAAAAACAAAATTCAGATCGAATTGAAAACGTTTCTGCTTTCTTCTGCTAATTGAAATTCTGATCTCCATATCACATTTTATGTTTTTGTATATATTTATATATGTGTGTTTGTATTTATATATATATATATGTGCTGTACATTAAATTGATGTGTTAGTTTGAAATAATTAATTTAGTCACTATTTTAAATTCTATCTCTGTTATAAACATTCTTGTTCCTTGGGATTAATAAAGATCAGTATCATAAAATTTCAGTCTGGTATTGTCAGGCAAAATCAGTTCTAACTTATATTCTTTCTATTGTGTATACTTTTACAAAAAGTAAGTTTGTTTTTCATATGATCCCCTACCCCAAAATCTGTAAAATCAATTGATTCCTACCGTTTCAATATCGTCTGTTTCAATCACTGTGCTTCTGTAAACATCAGGGCTAGATACGCTAATTTTGAACTTTTCCGGGTTCAACATAGCCTGACGGCAGTGTGCGGAGTGGTTTCTCTTCATCTTGATCTGGTTCAAATAACTGTGAGAAAAGTTTCTCACAACTCCCTGCGTTTTTGATTGGTTGTTTTGAGTCGTAGAAAGTAGAGGATGTGTATTCGTACTGTGGATGTCTACTTCACCTTCATTTTCTTCAATAATTGGATCTGTTCCTTTCTTTGGTTTCATTGCAGTTTTGAGGGGTATTTTTGAATGTGGTGATAGGTTTTCTCCTGAAGTGTTTTCAGTCGGGAGGAGATTCGGATAGTTCTCCGCAACGATTTTATAGAGGACTTTGTCTTCACTGAGTTGTTTCATCACTTCTACAGGGATCTGAAAATATTTGAAATTAATTTAACGATAGTATTTGAGCTAATTTTGGAGTTTTCTGATTGACAAAATTTGTTTACTCATGAAATAATGAGACGACCTGGACTTACTTTTTCATTTTTTTTCAGGAAGGTCGGTAAGTCAATCATTGACCTAAACCGACTTTCTTCTGGCAACTGAATATCCTTGTCTAAACCTAACTGGAAAGTTACATCCTTCTTGTCTCCATTATTTGTAGGTTTTGAAACAGTTTCATTTGTTTCATTTGACTTTTTTTCTCGTTCCCTACAATAGTATATTGAAATTATATGTTAATGTTTTAATGACTTCAATCTGATGATATTTTCTGAAACTTGAGAATATGTAGCATTTATTGGATGAACTAGACAGTATGAATAGCTATAATCAAATATACAAAGGGTGAATTAATTGAACTATGATAATATTTTTTGGGGGTAATATATTAGTTCATAGAATTCCTCTTTCACTTCTCAATTTTTAATCAGCTATCAAGCCCAAGGCAACAGGCGCGCGTGTTAATAAAAAAAATACTTTTTTCAAATGAAGAAATAAGTACATGTAAAGTGAGTTCAAATTATATCGAGGAGGTTACGTAGAGCGCCATCTGCCCGCTAATAGATCAAGCAATACTATCGATAATTCTGTCAAATACAGATCTCGAGCTTGAAAGTTATAAACAAACATACATACATACATACTGGTGAAGCTAATAAAAGCGTATTAAAGTGAAAATCAACACCCAACATCAAGGAACTGCAAAAACTGAACTGAAATAATATTAAAAAAATTCTTTAAGCAAATTATAAATTGATAGAATAATAGAAAACCAACAAGGCATCTCTAACAACTTTCTGAAAACAACTTTCCAAACTGTCTTATAACTTGTTTTCTTTATTTATAATGAACAAATCTTACTAAAATGAGAATTGTGAAAATTCCTTTACGGCTTCCGTGAAACGGCTATTTTTATGGCCTTGTTAAACAAATCAGTTGTTTTATGGTCGGTAGCCGGGCGGTTCGACGTGGGTGCTTTGTTCACTCAGTCAATCGGCCGATATGTGAGTCGATGGTTCAAGCCCCAGGCTGAACGGTCGATTTTCACTTGCTATCGTCCAACCGGTGTTAGAAATCACACATTAAAAAGTTAGACCTTGTTAGTCCTTAGCTAACAAGTTTCGACTTCTGAGGGTTGTTGTTCGTAGGGGTGAGATAGCTGGTTAACGAAAAAAACATATTTGAACATGGAACGGTAAATGTAAGATCAACAGTTCAAAAATGAACCTCCAACCCTAATTCTAGGGTATTCTAGCTTTACTGTTCCATAAACTCTTGAATTTATACGGAATTATAAAATATGTTATCTTTCATAATATGAAAACTTTTTCGAAAATGAAAATTTCTTCTATTTTTTTGTCCCGTTTAGTTAGGGAAGATCCCTTCAGTGGAACCATACAAGAGCTTTTGGCAAATTTCCCTTTGACTTCCATTTTTTTTAAATTTTCATATGCATCACCCACAACTGACCACATAAGGATGAAACCCATTTTTTACTCGAGAACTACAAAAATCATACACCAAGCCAAATAGTTGTAAAATGTTGAATCTAGTGTGGATTCGCTCCCGCAAAGTGTACTGGTTTCAACACACTGATAAATAAAAAACAAATATGATCTTTTTATAGTCATAAACCATTAATGAAATCTTCAAATATCTCTGCATAATAATGTATACCTAATGTATGATTTTTTATGATACTGCAGGTTTCTAGTGACTAAACTTACTCTTCAATTAACCAGTTGGGATCTCTCATTAGGGCGCCGCACACACACATTTGAAGAAAGCAACCACCTAGCAACAACATGGTTCCTCGCCAACCATATTCTGACAACAGATATGTGGTCAGAGGTGGAAACAAAATGGTGCCAACCCCAGTTCCACTGGCGGCTAAACCAAGAGCGATCGTTCTCTTTTTCTCAAACCAAAAGGCAATGGAAACAACCGCTGTTACAAAGGTGAGTGCTCTCCCAATGCCACCTATCACTCCAAATGTTAAATAGAGCATTCCAAGAGAATTGGCAAAAACACTCAGTATAAATCCAGTCGTGCAAATGAGGCTTCCAACAATCGTCATCCATATACATCCGTATCGGTCTACCAATGTGCTGCCTAAGGGGCCTGTAAATTAGAAGAAAAAATGTTCAACACAACCTTCATGAAATTAGTCAAATATAGAGAAATAGTTTCACAATATTGCGGTAAAGTGGAGACGGTGATACCTCCACTAACGAAGACTCCACCTACGGGATCGGGAGTCTTAATCCAAGAATATCAAAGATAATCGAAGCTTTCCAAGGTCAGTTGCAAAGCCAAGCTTCCAAGTTTACCTCCAAACGAGATTTGTCCTATGTCTTTGACTGTATCTTTCAATTCGAGGTAACTAGATATCATAACTTCTACTTACTCAGGCTTTTTCAAAGGACAATTGAGTTCAAATACATTCGTGTTTTAGCCTAGCATCTCTGATAAGACCTATGGCAGGTTGAAACAGCACTCCCGGTGTTGGGTCTCGAACAGGTTATTTTTGGGCTCTAGTTTCATCTAGCTGCCTCGCAGTGGAAAAAAGAAAGAACATAGATAGGCGATCGATGTCCAAGCTTGGATTGCCAACGAATACCTCGTTTATCTTTGTTATTCGATGATTTAGTCGTATGTCGATTCTATATTTGGCGTCTTCGTAAGGGGAGATGTCATGGCTTCTAGTTACTCAGGCTTGTCTTTCAAGGACAATTGAGTCCAGCAAAGTATTCTTGGTGAGACTTGTGGCAGGCTGAAACAGCGCTGTCTTGCGTTGGATCACGAATGCCTTGCTTTTGGGGCCCTGGTTTCATCAAGTTTCATCAATACTACTGTTATTTACAGTTCGAACATAAATAGTCCCTCCCTCCTAACTTTCGAACGGAACAAGATATCAAAGTCGGCCTCGATGTAAATAATAATTAGTTTTCTTTTTGTTTCTCTGTAGGTGTAACGCGAAACATTTTTAGAAATTTAAACAAAATGAAATGAAGCGAATTCTCAGTAACAATACTGACAGCTGTCAAGCTAACACAATACTCTCTGTTACTAGGGTAACACAGCGTGGATTCTCATCTACATAGTCGGACATACAAAAATCCTAAATAGAATCAAAAGCAAAAATGCGCTTTTATGTTGAATACTTTGATTTAAGACCCCTTACAACAATTTATTTGTTGTAAGGGGTCTTGTGATGACTCTTTCGACAGGTTTTGGTAAATGCTGAGATGGGTTACCATTCGCTTCCTGGAAGTGATGAAGTTTGTTTACTGATTCATTATGGGATGATTCAAGATTAATTTCGTTAAGATCACCTCTGATTCTAACCATGAGCTTTGGAGTAGAATGCGGTTGTGTAATTCAAACTTGATTTCATAAATCCTCATAGAAATCTAAGGGTTATCTCGTTATTATGAAAAAAACATTTGGGCGAATGTTCAACATATTCTCCTTGAAATCCCGGATAGTGAAAGTCTATTTTATAAGTCGTTTCTAATATTGTGGAATGTTTCTGTGGTAACGAAGCACAAGTTTCGGTAAACTTATTTCTAAGTCCCCTTATTGTTCCATGTTGCGTAAAATAAACTTCCGATTTGATAAAGCCATAAAGGAAAAAATCAAGAAGAGTCAAATCTGGTGAACGAGCAGGTCATTCAATGAATCCAATATATTACCTTGCTGACGACAGCACACTGGTCTCGTCATTCCATTTGGATTGCAGGACAGCGGGAAGTTGCACATCTTCATGAGGATCTCGAAGTGCTTTCCAATTGGGGTGAAAGTAACCAGGTTCAATTCAATTCCACGAAAACGGATATAATAATGTCAGGACATACACCTCTGCTTTCTGTTTCGATGAGTTTGTTGGGGGGTTAAAATGGACACCAATGTGTCGTGACACAATCATGTCGCCGGAATTGCAAAAGCTGCTTCTCAAAAGCTCGGAACACTGTTCCGAACCAGAAAACTGTACACAACTCAGAAACTTTTGATGTTTTTTGAAGCTCAAACAAGACCTTCTTTGAAGTATTGTTCTCATGTATGGAGCTCCGCCCCTAAGCATACCCTGAAGCTGCTGGGTTCCATCCAGAAAAGAGCCATCCGACTGATTGGGGACGCGAATATCACTTGCAACCTTGATAGTCTGGAATATCGAAGATATGTTGGGGATTTGTCTCCTTTCTATAGAAACTTTCACGGGAAGTGTACAAGTGACTTGGCACATTTGATTCCACAAATAGCGGTACATATCAGAAATACGCGACGGACTGTGGCTGCTCATCGTTTCGAGTTTCAACTCAGTACACATCGAACTTCACTGTTCAAGAAGTCTTTTTTTGCAATCAAACGTTCGGATATCAACTTACGAAACTGCATTCTTCTGTCAAAGTCGTCTCCATTCAATTCATGTAATATCTCCAGTTTATAGGGTTGAGGTTTTTTGGACGGTAGTTGTTGAGACATCATTTTCACGAGAAACTGTTGTCGTGGGCTTCAGAGGGTTATCGACTTCAGACGCAACAATTTCTACCTGTTTCTCGTCCGAGATAGATTTTTTTCCAGCTCCTCTAACTCTAGCTACACTTCCAGTTGTTAGAAAATTTTCAACAAGTTCTCCGAGATATTTTCGGCAAATTGTATCATCAGGAAATCTTGTATCTGCTTCTTGAAAATTACGGCCGGCCTCGATGTAAATAATAATTACTTCTTTTTGTTTCTCTGTAGGTCTGACGCGAACCATTTTTAGAAATTTAAACGAAATGAAATGAAGCGGATTCTCAGTAACAATACTGACAGCTGTCAAGCTAACACAATACTCTCTGTTACTAGGGTAACACGGCATGGATTCTCATCTACAAAGTCGGTTATACAAGAATCCTAAATAGAATCAAAAGCAAAAATGCGCTTTTATGTTGAATACTTTGATTCATTTCCTTGAACAATTTCTACCTTTTACACTTTACAAACTTCGTGTAACCTGTGAGATCTAACTGTGGATCTGTTCCAGTCTTTTTTTTGGATGTAAAGTTTTAAATTATAAATTTTGCTAGCCTCAGATTCAAACACCAATAACTCTGCCATTGATATACTTTTAGAGCGAAGGGTCACAAAACCCCCTTTTTATTTGAAAAAAAAGTTGATAGTGCTATCTCTGCAGCAAGCGATGTCACATTGGCTTTGTCATCAAAAAGTACTGAAAATCAATCCTTTTAATACACATTTTATCCAAGTTTGTTATCTTGCCCCGTTCAAATGTTAAGATGGCTTCGTCATCAAAAAGTACTGAAAATAAATCTTTTTAATACACATTTTATCCAACTTTGTTATCTTGCCCTGTTTAAATGTTAAGATGGGAGGGGAATTATTTACGTCCTCACTCTATAGGAACTCTCATGTCCATTTTTATTGCCATATCCTCAAAGGAGAAAATACCGAAGATTCATCCTAAGCTTTAAGTGAAATCATAAATGAATGCACCGTATATAATGCACGGCATATAGTTAATAGTGGTCTGAATATACATATAAGACATTTCTGTAGATCTAAAAAGTTTCAAAAATCCGGGACATTGTCAACCATTTTCAAACAATAGCTATTTTTGATATGAGTGTTAAAAGGAAGGTTTCATTTAAGCAACTTCGCGAACAAAATAAAACTTACTTCTAACACAAATATCATACAAACTTTTTGTACAACTGTCCTGTTTTCATGATAAAATAATTTCTATAAAAACACATTTTGACACCTCTTGTCAGTTCACTATATTCATGTTATCGCATTTGCTGTGAAGTGGCCGTGTCAGGTGACGCCAAATCACCTGGTTACCAAAAAACAGTATTGTTTACAGCTCACGCGTTTCATTTAAACATTTAAACTTCTTGCTGGTGTTTGATGTCTTGCAGAATGAAGAACAATTCAATTGAATTTTCACCAAAATAAAATGAAAGTTATAGGCCCAAAAAATCAAAAACTCTTACGTTTGAACAAGTCCAGAGGTTTATAAATGGGACGCCAGATGAAAAATATTTTATGATAAAAGTTGCTACTATTTTCGGAATACTTATATTGAGCCGGCCGGCGTGAAGAGCTGTGCCATTTATTAATAGAAGACATTAAATTAATGGATGAATTATTGATTGTTCAAATTTAAAATACAAAAACGAAAATAGGTCGTTCATTTTGCATTGTTGGAAAAAACATTGATTATTTTAATAAATACTTCGCATTACGCCCTTCTGTTATCAATCATCAACGTTTTTTCTGAAATACTCAAATTATAAATGCAGTGCCAACCCAGTTGGTATAAACACGTTTGGGAAAATGCCCTCTATCATTGCTGAGTTTCTGAACCTCCCGGAACCCAAGGAATATACAGGTCACTGTTGCAGAAAGTCTTCTGTTAGCAGAATCAGGAGCAAATATGATGGATATTAAGAAGCACGGAGGATGGAAGTCTTTATTTCTTATGCTATTATTTCTTAGGCTATTGCTGAAAAAATAATCCCAAGAGCGTTACAGCATCATTCTCTTCAGTTCAAGAATTAAATGTTAATGCCCATGAAATTGTCAACTCAGCTAGTTCAAATATATTGCAAGGCTCTTCAACATCGCAAGGTATTAATATCAGTAGTTGTTCTAATTGTACTTTTCATATTAATGTTCATAAATAATAATAATAATGTAATTGATGTATATAATACATTTGTAACAGAATTGAATTGTATTTATATCTATGGTTCATAATAAAACTTCATCTTTTAATACTCTTGACAACCCTTAAAATGTCACTTTTAATGACAGTTGTACAAAAACGTATATTCGTGTAGGTACCTATGTAAAAATGAACAATACTTTCCGTTCATGATGAAAAAATGTTCTTACCTGCAAGTAAAGGTAGAGCCAAAAACAAGCTCCCAATCCACGACGTTGCGGATTTTGAGGCCCCAAACTCATTTAAAAACTCAATGAACAAAACGCCGAATGAAAAACTGATTCCTTCTGAAATAGTGTTGATAACGAATGCTGCAAACACCACCATCCAACCCCATCCTCCATCAGGTATTTTTGGTTGGGCTTCTTCTACATATATTTCGATTTGTGATGTCAGAAACGATTCTTTTCCTTGAAACATGTGAAGTTCATGGTCGTGCGATTTATTTCTTTTCTCTATCGATATATGAGCCATATTTTCTCTTTGTTCTCAATCAGTATTTTCAATAGTTATTATTTTGCAATACTATAAATCCGATGAATCCAACTGATGAATATTTTGTTTACAAACTTTTTTCTTATCGGCTTGAAACGAAAGTGGTAGACTTTCGGAATCATCAAGGAACTAGACTGAAACGATAATTGAAAATATTAGGTTATACATGAACTCACATAGTCATATTCAGAGATAAGATTATCAAAGGCGTATCCTCTGTGAAGTTGCCAGTTGGGGAGACATCGACACACTGGATTACGATTCGTAAATATTTTTTTTCACTGTACATAATAAGGCGTTAGTAAATTTCTAATTGAAAACTGAAATATTTCAAAGCGATAATTCCAACTGTTCAGTTACATTTATATGATCTGATAATGACATAAATTTTGAGGTGTGAACGACCATATGAAACGATAAATAAATTATATAATAAATGCATCAAATGAGCTCATATGGATAAACTGCTTGCCAATCCCAAAGGGTCTAGATTCTTCTGGTCGGTAGCTAAAGCCGTTGTTAATTCGAACTTTACAAAATCCACAATTCCACCACTAACACAAGCAGATGGTTCAATTGCAACAACAGCCATAGATGAAGCAAATCTACTAGCTGAACAATTTGCGTTCCACTCCACAGTCGATTATCTGGGAACGGCACCACCCACTATTCCCACACTAGAATCCACAATGCCGGAAATTACTTTTCGACAGCGTCTAGTCAGGCGAATTTCGAAACAGCTCAATATTAACAAGACGTCTGGTCCTGATGGAGTGCCCAGCATCGTACTTAAATAGTGCGCAAATGGACTCGCAACCATTTTTTCCTGTCTTTTCCTTCTTGTTGGAAGATTGCTCGCGTTCAGCCTATTCCCAAAAAGGGCAAGAAAAATCCTCCAAATAACTATAGACCAGTCGCTTTGCTACCAGTGATATCAAACCACCATATCCTCAAATATTTGGAAGGCTTCAACATCTTGAGCGATCATTAATATGGCTTTCGGAAAAAAAAGATCAACAGGCGACCTTCTATCGTATGTCACCCATATTTGGAATAACGCAACTGAGAAACATGGAGAATCAAAAGCTGTTGCGCTTGATATTTCTAAGGCCTTTGACCGTGTGTGGCATGAGGGTTTTCTGGCCAGACTTCGATGCTATGGCTTGTCGGATCACTTTTGTCTATGGCTCTCCAGCTTCCTGAAAGAACGTTCCCTGTAATGGCCGTCGATGGATATCTCTCGAATACTTTCACGAGAAGGTTTCTCCGGTACCTTAGTCCGGGATTTCGTCCTTCAGATTCGGTAAGCAATTGAACTGCGCTGTACATGGCGGTGTTAATTTGCCAGATATCAGCCCATTCTGTAAGAACACTTTGAACCGCTGCATCCAAACAAGTCAGTTTTTGTAGCTTCAGGGGGCTAATCCTGCGTGTTCCGAATATCTCCATTGGTGGCATAATACCAGTCTGCTTCCCAGTCATGCCAATGTTTTGGATAAATTGTGGTGTAACTCACCAAAAACCACAGGTGTTAGTGGCCATTCCTGCTTATTTCAATTATTGTTACCATTATTATTATTATCAACACTACAGTCTAAACTGTTGATTACGTAAAACATATCGACACTAGGCTAGTTAAAATACATGAAAAGCTCCATGAGGTTTGAGTAGCTTGGTGGAAAAACAGGTATGGTATTTAACTACATAGCCATGCATAATTCAAGCGCAATTAACAAAAAAAAATGTTAGAAAACTTTTGAAAAATATTGTTAAAAAATATATAAATACAATTTACATGGCAATGCACCTTTCATTAAGAACTGCAAGATTTTTTTTAAATTATAAATTCAATAAAAAATTCACAATACAAAAATGAAACGAGCTCTATGTGATTTCTACTAATATTTTTCTGATGAATTAATTTTGATTATGAAGTATGTAGACCACTACTCACTGCGTTCCCATCGGAGTGATGTAATAACTGTGATAATAATTAAACAATTTTCACACACATTTTATTTCCAGACGCGTTTCGCTAACACCGTAGCTTCCTCATTTCTACCGAGGAATGTTTGTGAAAATTTGTTTAATTATTTTCATGGATAGTGTCATTAATTTTCATCAAGTAACGAGTCAGTCCATTCATAACTGCGTCTAATATTATGAGTATTATTCATATTGCTTTATTGCTACAAAAACCTTTCTCATTGTCATAATTATGTAACGAATCTGAAGCTGCCCCTGACCCATACGCCAGTCTATAAATCGAATGAATACATGACTCACCGCGAAAGAATGCAGTCTGAAATCGCCGCGAAAATTCTAGGAGAGTACCGAACAGACTACAGAATTCTTTACCGATATATAAGACCGGCTCTCTTCCAAAGAGGGCAGTTGAATTTAGAAAGTGAATCGAGCGGTTGAACAAGGAATTCAAATAGTGGTAATAAATTAAGCGTTAGTTGCTAAGTGTTGAATATAAATTAGTTTGTGATAGTGAAATATTGTTAGAAACAAATTTGTTTAAGACAGTAACGTCTTTAATTTGTTACAATTATTTAAGTCATACTTCACTGTGAGACTTTTATTGAACCATTAGCATTTTGTCAATATGAACACGTCTAAGAAAGCTATTGTATGATGAAACACGTGTTTCGGTTTTGTTAGCTATTTAGTGAAAAGTTCACAATAAAGTGTTACTTGAATACGGTTTTGGTAAAGGAATTTTTTGACCTTCTACTTCTCCATCTTGATATAAAAAATGTGGGAATCTTCCAAAGAAAGTTATGTACATTATGCAAAGATGTGTAGATCATGCAAAGAAGAACCTTTCAGACATAAACTGAAAGAAAAAGCCGTCTCGAAACAGCTATTTTCATATAAACATTGAATTACACGAAAGAAAAATACTTTCGAAACAAATACTTTTATATGAACGCTGAATTATACGAAAAACACTTTTCTCTATTTCAAATATTCGTATGGAATCAAACCAGATATCATTCACGGGATTTCTACACAATATAATTATTGAAAGAAGTAAAATTTCAATTACATGGAACACTGCCATTCTCACTGTTAGACATCCGATGTTTCGCCGTATGACACTTGCCTTATCGGCTTTTCAGTAGCAAATACGGATAATATAAGAAAAAACACCCAATTCGTTCATAATTACGACTTTTTTCACGGAATGGGTCGAATCCACCCATGTTATCGATGACAGTACGTGAATAGTATGCATTCGCTTATTTGATTAAATCCCAGCCATAGGAATCTAGTTTCATTTGAAAGGGTATATTTTCAGGAGAGATTAATTTTTGCGCGCATTTGTGGCGCCGAGGCCAAAAAGAGAAAGAGAGCGAAGAAGGCAGGAGTGGCAGCAATTATAAGTGCACTCTCCTCCTCCCTCACTCCACCTCCAACAGCAAGGGCACTTCCTGCGGCGGCCGCCAAGAGCTCCGTCTTGAATAAAGGCAAGGAACCGGCTGCCCCTGCAAGAAAGCTCCCTCACTTGTGCACCTCCAGGAGGGAACCCCAAGAAGGAAGAAGAAGCCAAGCAGTAATGTTGCTGCACCCTCCAAAACCTTAGCGGAGTGAGACACCTCAAGGTTGCCAAAGAGAGTGTGTGTTCGGCGAGTCTTTGCCTACACCTGCCAATATGAAGAAGATGTCTCCTAGTGACCTGTCCAGGACAGGATGGACGATGACCTAGGAGGACAACTCCTCGGGAGGACATACAATGGGTCACATGTGGCCCAAGTGCTGTGGGTCTACACTCACTATCCCTTCTCTATAGATACAGACAGATCAATAAGAGAATGTCGAGAGGACAAAGGAAGGATACATCAAATAAAAAAACTGAAACCATTAAAAGCGACAATGGTCTGGAGAGAGTGTATGATTATTTATGTAATAACCTCATATAAGCAAGAAGAGTTTGTAAAATATGAAATCCCCTTTTCAATTAAATTACGTGAATTTGAGTTAAACAGGCAAGAAAAATAATGAAACTGTTGAAGTGTGACAACTTATCTGCTTTCTTGTCTAGACCAGGAAAAATTCCTATTTTCCAAGGAATGAAATCAAATATTCTTAATCACGGTATAGGGAAGTATATTCCCAAGTTCTACGACTTTTTTATGATACCACTTTGGACGATTAGACCATACATTAAAAATTCAAATAATATTTGTATTTCTTTGTTTTTCTGTCGATCATTTTACAGTGCATTATTATAATGGAAAATATTTTTCTGGAAACAGGACCGTGTAACTTGGTCCTGAGAACATCAGAATAATAAGCTCGGCAGAGAATACATGAAACTTGTTGGAAGTGATTTAGGGTTCTCCAACAGGGAGTTCTGAACTTTGACAATTGATAACGGCCATCTTGTTGAAGCTATATTTGTCAAATTGGTTGTCATTCATTCAGTCTGTTTTGTGAAATTACCATGGACGGATATAGCATTCAACAAAACGTGGAAACAATTTATCAAAATGGGTGTTCTGTTCGGGCAACGTATCGCGTCACCATAATCGTCCTACCGAGAGAACTATTCGCAATGTAGTGGATACATTTGAGTCCTCTGGTTTAGTAAACGATCGAACAACACCCGTACGTCGACGAAACGCAAGATCTGCCGAATACATCGCTACTGTCTGTGACTGACCCAGAAACTGAAGGGAAACGACCACAGACAACGACGTTTGTTCGTTCTGGAGTAGTTGGTAAATGACGCGAACAAACGAAGTTATCGAATTTGGGACGATACCAATCTACATGAGAGTTAAGAGCTTCAAATGCATCCCGAAAATGTCACCGTTTCTTATAAATTTTGGGCTAGTGGCGTCATCGGTCAATATTTCTTTGAAATCGACGTTGGCCAGTTCATCACTGTCAACAGCGAGCACTATAGGTCGACGATTACTGAATTTTTTTGGCCTGAATTGAATGATCTGGACACCAACCACATGTATTTTCAACAGGACGGCGCTACACACAATTCATGCCACATTGGATATTCTGCACGAGCGATTTGGGCGCATGGTCATCTCACGTGGAGGTGATGAGAATTGGCCCCCGAGATCGTGCGACTTGACCCTGTTAAACTTTTTCTTGTGGGCTTTTCTCAAGTCGCAGGTATATGCGAATGAGCCACAAATAACAGCGGTCCTTAAATCCAACATAACCCATGCCATTAATGGGCCGGTCATGGAAAATTGGAGGTTTCGGATGTGCTCCACCCAGAGATGCTATGGCGAACATTTGAACGATGTTATATTCCACATTTAATATCATTAATAGGTCTTTCAAACGAATAAAAAATATCGATTATATCTCACACACACTTTGTTTTATTTGAATTTAAAGATAGGAAGCCCTTGATAGAAGACCTTATAGTTCCAATTTGATTATTTCTGCGAAAAGAAGAAAAACTTCAAACATGGACCAACCCGGATTGAATAGCAGATGACGGGCAAGTAATATGTTCACCATGAATAAGAGAATGGCCAAGGCGTAAGCGCATTTGCGGCGCCGAGACCAAAAGGAGAAAGAGAGCGAAGGAGGCAGGAGTGACAGCAATTATAAGTGCACCCTCCTCCTCCCTATCTCCACCTCCAACAGCAAGGGCACTTCTTGCGGCGGGCGCCAAGAGCTTCGCCTTGAATAAAGGCAAGGAACCGGCTGCTCCTGCGGGAAAGCTCCCTCACTTGTGCACCTCCAGGAGGGAACTCCAAGAAGGAAGAAGAAGTCAAGCAGTAATGTCGCTGCACCCTCCAAAACTTTAGCAAAGGCCACCGTGAGACACCTCAAGGTTGCCAAAGACAGTGTGTGTTCGGCGAGTCTTTGCCTACACCTGCCAAGCGCATTTGCGGCGCCGAGGCCAAAAGGAGAAAGAGAGCGAAGGAGGCAGGAGTGGCAGCAATTATAAGTGCACTCTCCTCATCCCTCACTCCACCTCCAACAGCAAGGGCATTTCCTGCGGCGGGCGCCAAAAGCTCCGCCTTGAATGAAGGCAAGGAACCGGCTGCTCCTGCAGGAAAGCTCCCTCACTTGTGCACCTCCAGGAGGGAACCCCAAGAAACAAGAAGAAGCCAAGCAGTAATGTCGCTGCACCTTCCAAAACCTTAGCGGAGGCCACCGTGAGACACCTCAAGGTTGCCAAAGACAATGTGTGTTCGGCGAGTCTTTGCCTACACCTGCCAATATAAAGGAGATGTCTCCTAGTGACCTGTCCACCTTCCTGGAAAGAACAGGATGGACGATGACCTAGGAGGACAACTCCTCGGGAGGACGTACAATGGGTCACATGTGGCCTAAGTGCTGTGGGTTTACACTCACTATCCCTTCTCTATAGATACAGCCGGATGAATAAGAGAATGTCGAGAGGACAAAGGAAGGATACATCAAATAAAAAAACTGAAACCATTAAAAGCGACAATGGTCTGGAGAGAGTGTATGATTATTTATGTAATAACCTCATATAAGCAAGAAGAGTTTGTAAAATATGAAATCCCCTTTTCAATTAAATTACGTGAATTTGAGTTAAACAGGCAAGAAAAATAATGAAACTGTTGAAGTGTGACAACTTATCTGCTTTCTTGTCTAGACCAGGAAAAATTCCTATTTTCCAAGGAATGAAATCAAATATTCTTAATCACGGTATAGGGAAGTATATTCCCAAGTTCTACGACTTTTTTATGATACCACTTTGGACGATTAGACCATACATTAAAAATTCAAATAATATTTGTATTTCTTTGTTTTTCTGTCGATCATTTTACAGTGCATTATTATAATGGAAAATATTTTAACTTTGTATTCGACAAGAGTGACACAAATCAAAGTACAATTCATTTTTACCAAAGTATAAAAATATATACCTAATATTTTGAACGTCTGGAATATGAAAGTACCATTCTAATTAGTTTATTTCCATAATGTAAGTAAAATTTATATTTGTCGTACTACAGTATGTTATTATTTGAGTTCTGATCTTAGTCTTGCTGAGATGCAATTTAATGAACGACATAAAACCTTTATTTACTGTACTGTTATGGAAAAAAAACAAGAAATGATAGAACCAACTGAGACGGAAATACTTTTTCCATGACAATTAAGGTTTGAACAGACTCCATTCTACCGACCTTGTGTTGCCAGTGTTTTCGAACATACAAAGTTGCACACAAAATACTTTGTTCATACTTCTCAATACAAAAATATTTATATTTCCAAAACGTATTTTATCAGATCAGTATTTTGCTTCCACATATGATAAGTTACCAATTTTGAACTAATGAAAAAAATTTAACTCACCTCTTTTTTACCAACGAACAGAAAAATCATTACACATTTCTGAAAAAAAATATTGAGTATTCAGAGTACCTACATATGACATAAATGTAAACAAATGTCACAATGTCGAATTCTATTTACACGTCAATGATAATGTTTACAACCAACATCGTAATTCAATATATCGGATTATTGGTATTCTCAATATCGACCGGGATAAACGTTTATAATACCCCACGATATCACTCGAGTCAACAGTTCAACACTGGCACTAATCCATGTTGTTTTCCTGTGAACTCAATTCGGATAAAAATAAACCTGCGTCGTATAATTTGCCAGTGAAATATTTCGACTATCGCTTCTAGAAAACAAAGTCCGATAAAATAACTGATGTAGTCAGAATATAATATTTCCGTAACTTCAATCAAAATTAATGTATAGTATCCCGTGTTCTAGTTGCAGTGCTGAATATATAGGTCAGACAACTAAATTATTGAAAGATCGTATATTTTAACATAAAAGTATTTGCAGACTACATCCTGAGATATGTGCCCTCTGTGAACATGGCTACAGGGAGGGTCATGCAATGTAATTCTGTTAAAATCCTTGCAGAACAGAGAATATTTCAAAAGTATTACTCTTGGAAATGGCATTCATTTTGCAATCACAATATTGTTTTGATAACAAAACTGGTGTAAATCATTTACGTAAAATCTATTCATATATACTCCTAATAGACAAAAATTGGGACAGTCTCATGACAACTCATTTGCAATTATTTGAAAAATTTTCTCCATCAATTATGCTTATGTGAAGATAAAGAAAATTCAAATATTGTGATAGATATGTGGATGATTACGTTGTTTGTTACACCGGAACGAACAGACAGTTGACTAAGTTCTTGAATTTCATCAATTCTCTCACTTTTGGACTTCACAATAACAAAAGTTAACAACAAATATGAGTTTTCAATTTATCGTAAACCATCACATACAGATATTATCATTAATGATTCATCCACCCACCCGTATCAGCACAAAGTAGCAGCATTCAACAGTATGATCCACAGGCTGATAAATGTTTCCTTGTCAGAAGCGAATTTCAATAAAGAACTGAACATCCAACCCACTATAAATATTTCAGATTTTCTGTACGACAAAGGTGTAGATATTGATTTCAAAATCAACAACAACTCAGGCATGCACATTAAGAATAACAAAGATAAAAGTTCAGTTTCAGAAAAATCGAGAGTGTATAAATTGTCATGTGGGTCATTTCCGATGTTTAATATAGGTCGAACTGGAAGAACGTTCGAAGCCTGCATAAAGGAACACAGAAATAGTTTCCAGAATAGAAAAATAAATTCTAAATATGGAACTCATATAACACTGAGGGACATGAGTTCAACCGTGAATTCAAGCCCCTCCATTTCCAGAAGAAAGATTTGAAACTTAACCTGTTGGAGAGTATGGAAATGAACAAATTCAAAAACTCTCAATATCTTATAAACGATCAAGCTGAACTGAATAATTGGCCATTATTGAATTTGTTCATTTCCAGGTAAGAATAGTTAAGTATATTTATTTTTGAGTACCTAATCAAAATTTTCATTACGATTATGTCTACTCTTGATCTTCATTGCTTATCACTAAAGATTTCTAATACAGTTGAGTTCTCAAATATTTAATTATTTAACAGACCAATCGAGATAGCCAAATAAGTTTCACATGTCAATTATTCCCTCTCCTCTACTTCCACATATTTTATTTTACACATTTTATTGTAGGGTCATTGCATTCATTTTCAATTTTTTCATTCAATGTTTTCATATCTCAAGAATACATTTTGTGATTCTGACTTTTTTCAGCAAAAAAACCTCAAAAATTGAAATACCCTGGTTTTAACGTCAGTAAAAGTATTTAATTGTGAATACATAGAATTTGAGCATCTTTTATAAGATATCTACTCTAAGGAAAAAACTCTCCACACTAATAGATTCGAAACCCTTTTCAGGTTAACCAATTCTTACAAAATTAACTTTTTATATAAAATCTGATCGAAAGTATTATATTAAATTTCTTTGTGTATTGACCACAACACTAAAAACCTTTCAGGCCCAAAATACAAATTTCGTAACTTTTCATAAAAAATGAAAAGTTTTAACATCTGCAACAATTTTGAAGATTCACTTTACAAATCAAAATTAGGAAAAGATGTTACTGTAACTCCTACATTTTAGGCTGTAATGTTATTTGTAATTTAGACAGAACATCGGCGGCGGATGCACATATTCACTGGCAGCAGGAAGTTGCATATCTTAATGAGGATCTAGAAGTAACTTCGAATCGGGATGAAAGTCACCAGGTTCAATTCAATGGCAGAAAAACCCAGGCATCGGTTTTTCTCCAAAAAGATAACTGTCTCCGTATCAGATATAATAATGGCAGGACACACAATTCCGCTTTCTGCTTCGATAAGTTCATTGGGGATTAAAATGGACACCAATATATCTTGGCAAAATCATGTCGCTGGAATTGCAAAGGCTGCTTCTCAAAAGTTTGAAACACTATTCCGAACCAGAAAACTGTTCACAAGTCAGCAACTTTTGATGATTTATAGATCTTAAGACCTTTTGAAGTATTCCCCCCCATGCCCCCTCCCGGGTTGAGTGCCCTGAAGTAGAAGCTTCCCCCCAGCTATTTAGCGAGGAGAACCTACTAGCCCACTCCATCCACCCCCGCTCTCCGAGCGGTCCTCAACTTACTTATGGGCACTTCAGCAAGATTGACATCTGATCTCTTTTGGTCGAGAGTCAGCCTTTAGGTGCTATTCTTTCGCGATCGGTAATTTGAAGTATTTGGAGGATTGTTCATGTGTACGGAGCTCCGCCCCTAAGCATCCAGAAAAAAGCCATCCGCCTGATCGGAGACGCGAACATCACTTGCAACCTTGATAGTCTGGAACATCGAAGAACGGTTATATAGATACTTTCACGGGAAGTGTTCAAGTGACTTGGCACATTTGATTCCACCAAGAGCGCTACATATCAGAAATACGCGATGGAATGTGGCTGCTTATCGTTTTGAGGTTCAACTCAGTACACCTTCTAAGCATCCAGAAAAAAGCCATCCGCCTGATCGGAGACGCCAACATCACTTGCAACCTTGATAGTCTGGAACATCGAAGAACGGTTATATAGATACTTTCACGGAAAGTGTTCAAGTGACTTGGCACATTTGATTCCACCAAGAGCGCTACATATCAGAAATACGCGACGGAATGTGGCTGCTTATCGTTTTGAGGTTCAACTCAGTACACCTTGAACTTCACTGTTCAAGAACTCTTTCACTTGGAGAATTGCGTTTATGTGGAATAAACTTCCTGAGAACGTTTTTCCAAATGGATTTAATCTCCAGCGATTCAAATCCAATGTAAATCACTACTTTCACACAGGCACCGCGCTTTAAGGATTTTCATGTAGGGCTTGTGTTTTGTCCTTAAAAAAGACTTTCGACATCGACCGCTGAATTAGATTTCCTCACAGCTGTTAAGCCCACAGATGAAGCCTATAGCTTGTTCTTTAAGGACAGTTGAGTCCAGCAACACATTTGTGATTCAGCAGTACTGATGAAACCTATAGCGGATCGAAACAGTGCTGTCTGGTGTTAACACACAAATGCTTTGCTTTCTTTTGAGCTCTGGTTTCATTTACAATGCTTTATAACATCTTTCCACAGTTGATAGACAAGGTATGCCAAACACTAGATTATCTGTAGTAAACCTCAAATGATGAGTAGCCACTGTCCATCGCGTATTTCCGATATGTACCTCTCTTGGTGGTGCCAAGTCACTTGAACACCTCCCCGTAAACTATCTATATAACACAGACAAATCTCCAACCTTTTTTCGATGTTCCAGACTATCAAGGTTGCAAATGATGTTCGTGTCTTCAAACACGCGGATGGCTCTTCTCTGGATGGAATCCAGCAGCTTCAGGGTATGCTTAGGAGCAGAGTCTCATACATGTGAACAATACTCCAAAAAAGATCTGATCTGAGCTTCATAAATCATCAATAGTTGCTGAAGTTTGTACATTTTTCTGGTTCGGAACAGTGTTCCAAGCTTTTAAAAAGCAGCCTCAGTAATTCCAGCGACATGATTTTGTCAAGACAAATTGGTGTCCATTTTAACCCCCAACAAACTTATCCAAGCAGAAAACGGAATTGTGCGTCCTGACTTTATTATATCCGGTACGGAGGCATTCATTTTTTGGAGAAAACCGATGCCTGGGTTTTTGATATTCACCCCAATTCAAAATCACCTCTAGATCCTCATAAAGATATGCAACCTCCTGCTGCCGGTGACAATGTGCATTCACAGCCGATGGCCTGGAATCCAAATAGAATGACGAGAGTGTGCTGTCATTAGCAAAGTAATATATTGGATTCTTGGTTTTTTCCAATAAGTCGTTGATGTACAATAAATTCAAATAAATCAGCTGCCCATAGAGCGTTCTCCAATATTTTCTGTGTTTATACTACGCAAGGTCGATAATTTTTTTAATGAATGCCCAAATGAATCACTTGTTTGCAAATTATCAGATATCTATTCAGCTTTCGTACTCGTAATCTTAACTATCTATTCGACTAATATCAAGCGGTTCATCGGATTAAATTGAAATTTTATATTATTTCATTAAATTGAATTGTCGTGGTAGGCCTTTCAAACAAAAAATTATTCTATATTGTACAACTAGATATACATTTTGGAATGTAAAAAGCGAAAAATTGAATATACTTGGTGCATATCATAAAAACCATAAAATCATGTTTCTGTAGCATTTTATGGAAAAATCTCACTTGACAGTAAACTTCATAGTCAATCGTAATTACTATGAAGAAGAAAATAAATGAAATTGATTGTCTAACATTGACATGAAATGATAATAACGTTGACAAGATATCTAAGAAAATAATTGGAAAAAACAGAAAGGAGGATCTATTATTTCGTATTATATAATTTATCGTGTTTTCAATGTTTCACTGTTTTCAGTTACTTCAAAATAATTAATGAATTGATATGTATTACTGCCACAACTCTTATCATTTAATTGGTGGGTAACTGTTTCATGGAAGTTCAACGCATTTTCAAGATAACAATTTAGTAATTTTTGGGAAAGAAAGGTTTTTGTTTTTTACTTCTCCATCTTCATACAAAAAATGTGGTAATCTTTCAAAGAAAGGAAGAAAGCAATCAAATTAACTCTGTACAAAGATGTGTATAC